TTATCAGCCCATCAAGGGGATAAAACATAACGAAAATCAAAAGACTCCGCAGTATTGCAAATCTGTATCTAGAATTCCAGTTCAAATCCCAGAAAAAGAGGCCAAAGACTTTCTTCTCAACCCTCCATTTTCCAATCTGAAGAAAGAAATTAAATGATTGTTTAAAAAAAACATGCTAAGACTGTGAGCAAGCAAACCAAAAAGAGAACTACAATAACTATCTTCCTCTTCCTTACATTTACACTGCCCAACTGTATCTACAAGATCTCGGCTATGTTGAGATACACTAAAAGGTACGGGATTGCTCTGTCAAACTCAAAGGTAGATTTTAAAGAAATGTCAGTGCACATGGCACATAACGTGAGCAGTTCTATGGTGAAAATTCCACCCAAAAAAGCACAGGGGAGGTTAATTTTGCAGTTGATTTGACATGATTTCCCATCCCTACAACTTATAAGGGGACTGAAAAATAAGAATTATCTTGTGTTTTGTTTACTATTATCCTCATGGCTGCCTGATTATTTTATCTTGTAAACTGTGCAATTTTCTGGGTTAATTTTTCTGCTGCATGTTCAAGTATAAAGTTTTTAACTAGTTTGTACATCACTCAGAAACTGCAGTTAGAAGCGTAGTAAATAAGTCTGAAGGTTCACTAAGCTTCAATAGAGCACCAAAACTGAGCACAATCAATAGGTGACATTGATTCTTGCCCATTCTCCAAGAGAGATGTACAAGACTAAAGCTGATTTCTTAAATAACAGCATTTAATTAAATGAAGCAAAAGAAACAACCAATTAGGATTTTTTTTGTCAGTCCATACCAGCTCCATTATCAGGTTTGGAAGGATCCAATCACTGAACTCAGTTAGAAGGTCCAACCTTCAGGTGTAAGTAGCTACTAGGGCAATGCAGAACAAAATAAAAGGCCACTGCAGAATAAAAGGCTACTAGGAAAGGCACTCAGGTACCTGAATGAAAAGCGTAGCTTATTATAAAACATGGATCTTAAAAGAAACATATTTACCGTGAATTGTCAATCAATTCTGCAATTGCTCCCAAAAGGAAGTCATGTGTTGTGCTAGAAAGAAGCATTAAGGCAATTTTAACACAAAAGAAGCCAGAAAACACAGGGATGAATTATACATGCAGAAAATGGCAATACAAAAAAAGGATTTGGAGTGCATTAGAACCCCAGTCTTTGAAATATGAAAAAGTCAAAGGAGAAGGTGGGGAGATAAATACTGCTTTGATATTGGTGTATAAATGAGAAAGTAATATCAATTAATTTTCTATATGTCGGCAAAATAGAATTCTTTATTGGCCAAGTACGATTGGATACACAAGGAATTTGTCTTCAGTGCGTAAGCTCTCAGTTTGCATACAAGCAACAAGTAATAAATCATGATCATAATCATAAAATACAATCATAAGATACACCCAGCAGATTTATGGGATTTCCTTATCCCTAACTAGCAGACAAGAACAGGACCACATGAGTAGCCTGCTAGATACAGCTTATTTCAAACATTAAGTTTAGGACAGGGTTATCTTTTTAAATGAACCTTATTATCTTCAACATTTTTTTAGTTAATGTTTCTGGTTTATACTTAGCTCTTGTGATTTTTTGAGGCTTACTGTTAGATTTGTTTCTGACAAATCGATTAATGATTGCAGTACAGATTGATTGAGTTCCCTAGGGTGCCTTATTGCCTAAAATTAAAAACCTGTTCATACTTACCTATGAATTACTACCATTAAACGCCACCAGATAGGACTACCGTTGACTTGAATAGTAAATTTACCCAATAATCTAATGTATGAAACACACAACTCTACTCCATTATATTAAGGCACAATTTCTTAAAAGTATTTATTATCATGAACTATCGTGGATCCTAAAAGATGTAATCCACAAAAGTTTATGTGCTAGCAAATGTACTTATAGCACAACCTCAGGAATTTTTATTCCATTGAAATCAGTAGGAGATATTCCCAAGCAAACGTTGTGCAGAACGGCAGAAAAACAATTCCCCGCCTTCTATTTGTCTAGTTAAATGTTTTCCATACTTGGAAATTTTAAGATGTGTAGACTTCAATTCCCTGAATTTCGCAGTTTGAAAAATATTTATTTAGTCAACTATTTGATCCAAGCTCTCATAATTATTATTCCTTGGGTTCAGAATGAAAAAAAATATTTTGTAGAAAAGTGAGCAGTCCTGTAAACAATTCTCAGTATTATTCAGGAAAACAAGGACTTTTTTTTGTTGTTGTTCTGCTGCCCACTGAGGGCAGAACCTAATCAAGGATCGACACAATGAGAGTGGCTGTCACTTATCTCACTCACGAGTTTGCATGCAAAAACTCCAGCGTTAATTTCGCTCTACACAGAGCTCCATAGACAGCGGATTCGGCCATGAGCACTGCCAGGGAAAAGCAGCACTGAAGAACTTCGTCTCCGAGCTTAGGAGACCGGCCTAAACCCTTCGGTCGCCGCCCACGTACAACGCATTGCGACCAGGGCGTGGCTACGAAAAGGCTGGCGAAAAGAGAAGGACAAGAGAGGCAGACCGTAGGCGCCCTCTTGCGGAGACAGCGATTGATGTTAACAACATTGCAACGACGTGAAGAGGCGAAAGTTAAAAGAGTCCAAGCTACTGTATAGGATACCTATTTATTACTCTGTAAGGTACTTCTTATCAGCCACAACCAATCACTTTTAGTGGGCATAAATATTCATTATACTCCATCACAGAGAGCTAGTTTAGTGTAGGCACTAGGCTACTATCTAGGAGACAATGAATTCTAATTCTGATTTAGGCACAAAGCCAGCTTGGTGCCTGGTCAGTCACTCTCTTTCAATCTTAAGGAGGCAGTAGTAAACTGCTTCCAAAAAGGTTGCCAAGAAAACTGCAGGGATTTATCCAGGCAGGCGGCCAGGGGTCAAGTGCTCACACAACCCCCCTCCCCCATCCATCCTATCTGTAATAAGGTGCATTGGAACTTGGTGGTTTGTAAATAAGACTGACATTGCATCCAAACCAATCACTTGGAATTACAGTTTCAAAAATCACGGCTTGCAGTTATGTGAATTGCAGACTAGCTTCTCTGATAAGCACACATATTAGATTTAACAGTTATGAACTTTAATTGCCCTTGCAAAAAATCCACACGGATAGCTCATAAGCACCAGATTAGTGACCAAGATCTGTTTCCTCCATTCCAAGGCTCCAAAAAGAGTTCAATAGTGGATTCAATTGAGAGACAGTCAGCTCTTCTTTCAAGCAGTGAATGAATGAAAAGCTATCCGTCAATCATTCTTTGATTCAGATTCGTGTGCTGAACAACATGTTGCACCTGATGGCTTAAATGACCCTTTTCAACTCTAGTATTATGAAATAAAGAAAACAATTACTGTTATTTACTTCAAATTAATAAATTTGCAGTGCAAAGCAACACTTGAGATTTGCTTGTTTACTTCTTTACATGGTGAAAGAAGACTTCAGCTTGTATCTTGTTAATGCAAAAAGCTAATGGACTCCCATACAAGTACTATAACAATATTTCCTAAGAATTCAGTATTTTTAGCACTATTCCAAAAATCAGATTCATGTAGCAGGAAATGATCCTACTCACATATTTTCCATCACCTGTGTGGAACTTCTTTCAAAATATTCAGTGTGAGAAAAAAGACATATGGTAGCATACACATATAGTTTGAAAACGATTCAAGAACACTTTTGAAAGGAGCAGGGATATACCTGAGGCATCCTTTCAAAGCAGATTAAAAAAAACCATGGCTCTTTGAAGAGGTCCTGCAGCCGCACACTGGCAAGGGCCAGGCCAGTTTTCTGTATTATTTCCAAAGCTTTCACATCTGTAATATGTATAACAGTTTCCTATATTCTGACCTATTTTAATAGTTTTTTTTCTGTCACACCTATATTACTCAGGATAATTTGCTGGGTTCTCCATGGTAAATGGGCTTAATCAAAGGTTGGGTCAGACACCAAAATGCAAAGGAACATCCTTTTTCCTCTGACTTTGGTCTTTTCTGGTTTTAGGCGAGGTCTAGATTAGTGTTCCTCAACTGCAGCATGTGTGGACTTCAACTTCCAGAATTCCCTAGCCAGTATAACTGGTTGTTGAATAGTCTAGATATGAGCTCAAGAATTCTGAGAGTTGAAGTCCACAAGTCATAAAGGGCTATAGTTCCCCACCCTGATCTAGATATTGAAGATCTCGGAAGAGTTGCTTCCCTTGACAAAGGACAGTGGAAGTGCAGAAACCAGTTGTATTAATACAAACTGGTTCAAAGAAGTGGAGTGATTAGTCTTGGTAAAAACCTTTTATGAATATTGGTGAGAAAACTAAAATTATCCTGAGGATCACAATATGCCTTAAAGCTACAGGTGGCCACCTACAATTTACCACATTAAAAAAAACCCAAAGTATTCAAGCCATGATCTTGATTGTAAACTTCTCTGTTCCATGCTTGCTTACTTATCTTATACACAGTGGCTTAATATGTAGTTGCATAATAATAAATGTGGAAGGCAGATGATGGGTAGAGATGCTGATAGAAGTCTGTAACAAGTTGGCCTGCACTTCCTCAGGTGATGGAATGATGAGCAGGTAGAATATGGAAAGGAGAGTTATATTGGACTCCTTAAGTTAGTCCATCCTAGATAGCTGTAGAAGACAATCACCAGCACTAAAGGGAACTGTCTGTGATTTCCTTATATTGGGGAACAGCAAAAGGGACCATATTGGCCTTCATTGCAAGAAGGAATGTAGTTTCATTCAGCTCTGCTCACAAGGCAAAAATATTGGAAACGTGTTTGCAATAAAGTTTAATGGGTCCAGTGTCCATTCATAGAAGGGAAAAAACATGTCTGAAGTGAATCAAAACTTCCATGTAAGAAAGTCTAAAGGGCACAGGGAGGTCGATGGAACATAAAAATGCAACAATGGACTCTGCCCTCTTTCTGTACAACTGTTCAGACACAGAGTAAATGATTGATAAAGCAAAGGGAATCAAATGGTCAAAAAGAATACAATTTTTACTTTTCTAACTCCAGAGAAGACACCATGAGTATTATAATGCTTCATGTGATGACCTGTGTTACTCTGCTTACAGGTAAAGCTTTTAAATCACATTATGCTTGTTCTTGAAATATGTATATTAATTTTGTTTAAATGAATTGCCGAAATTCACAAAGAACTGCAATGAAGTGCTCTTAAAGCCTAACAAATTCAGTTTCAGTGGGTATAATTCACTGCAATTGGAAAGTTATGGTGACCCAGATTAGGTATATATTTTTCTTTCAAAATAATGTTTGGTTTTGAGATTTGAATGCTAATAGGATTATAAAAGGCAGTTTAACATATTAATATCATGTTTAGTAATATTAAAAACTTAGAAAAAAAATTTCTTAACATGGAATGTAACTAACACAGAATATAACTACATTTCCCATGGCTGGTATGATCAAAAGATATGGGTGAAATCTAGCATCCAGGAAAAGGCTCAATGAAGTCATATGTATTATTATGGCATTATCTGTGATTGATGCAACATACATAATTCATTTCATTTGTGTGATGACTCCAGATGACACATAGGTCAATTGCCCCCATGCAGATGCCTGTGAATAGCGCATATCTGGAGATCATCAGGTTAGAGAAATCTGGCCTACAGCTGTATATTTAGATTTTGTATATGCTCTGAACCCATGACTGTCAACCCTGTGGCTTTATCATTTCAGTGGCTTGGGGACTACCATTTTCCTCTCAAGAAGAAGATAATGAATTTCTAGGACTTAAGAGGCTACCCTACCCAGCCAATTGGCATGCATTTACAGTGTCTGAACAGGTATTGACCTTTTCTAACATTTTAAAAACCTGTGTTTATTACTCAGTTTCTAATTCACTGTTCCCTGGGGAGGTTAAGGCTCTATGCTGGCCTAAAACCTTGTGATGAAGACTTAAGCAGAGCAAAAATGACTCATCTAAACTAATGCAGTCAGTTCAAGGGCTGAGTGGGGTTTGAAACACTACCCCACACGCCCATTCACAATCAAAAATTTTGCTGAGATACTAGTACGATTTAAAAAGTAGAATTCATCAGAGATTCATTATATGCCTTTGGATCTACTTGATTTTTCAATGACACATTCAGAAATATCAAAATCATAAACCTTTTAGACAGAATTGGAAGAACATTTCAGAACTCTCAGTCTGAGGGTCATAGTTTATAACCACAACTGATCTGGGATGGGCCTGGTGCCTAGGGATTAAATTCTGATGTTTATATATAAATAGCTAACACTTTTTTTGTGTATAAGAGCAGCTTCTCCAGTCTTAGCTGTGCAAAAAGGAAAATAATGATCATATATTCACTGTGAACAACTGAGAAATAAATGAGACTCCACAAAGGAATCTCAGGCTAAGAAATCAGAAATTCAGAATATGGTGCAATCTAATTTTGTGAACGTGAAGTCTTTAATTTTTTTGTTCTTGCTTTTTAAATATAATGAAGAGTAATTTATTATCATTCTCACCCCTGTAATTCTTTATTTGTTTCTCAATGGCATCTTACATTAAGAATTAAATACAGAATTTCCTAATACAGCAATTATAGAAATGTCTTTCTGGGGATGAAATATTAAGAAGCATGTTCACCCAGAAAGAAAAGTAGTCTTAGTCTCTATTGCCCCAGGGCACAGGAGTAGAGCAAATGTATTAAAACTACATGGAAGTAGAATCAGAAGAAAGTTCCTGATTATACAAGCTGTCAGCCAGAAGAAAAGATTGTCACATTGTGTGAATCTATTTGCTTTTCATGGAGACAGACATGTAATGGTCATTGATCAGAATTCTATATTTATTCATTAAATTCAATATTGTAGAGAATCTTCCTGATCATGGAGGACAGAGTAGTAATCTTTAAATTCTTTTCTACTCTGATTCTATGAAAATTTTATATTTTACTTAAGTTTTTTAAGCTTAGTCATATATGCTCTCAGTTTGTTTCCCCCCCCCCCTATATTTCCACATAAAATCAGCAATTGCTTTGCAATGCTATGCTCTTCCCTTCCTTTCCATATTGGGTTAATTCTGTTATATAATAAAAAATAACTAAACTAAATTAAACCATGATAACCAGATTCATCAAAGAAAGAAAGAAAGAAAGAAAGGGAAAATGGAAAAAAAGAAAAGGAAAAAAATACTGCCAAATTGCAGAAAGATAAATGCAGGACTGCCTGTCATGCTGGTTGGGAATTTTAATTACCATATTAGGACAGCATTAATTGCAAAAGACAATATGCTTCTTTGGGGTACTGGGAGGTGTCCAAATTGTTATTACTTCAGTTTATATCCTGTATTTCTGTTCAGACTACATGTAGAATGATAATCTTTAGCTTCTCTGAGATTCTCAGTACTAAATGTCCATAGAACACTTTTTTATTGTAAAACTGAATCATATTTTCATTCTAATCAGGTGAGTGAATATTGGTCACTACTGAAGAGATCATCACAGTATACCATGGACATGGCCAGGTAATTCACGGAATTGGAAACTTTTGAAAGGGTTTCTTTATTTACAGCATTTAATGGAATAGATATTAATGCATGGGTTATATGAAAAATCACACAAAGATATTTATTAATATTTTTGAAATGTGTAATTTAGAAAGGATTGCCAGTGGAACCATCCATTGCTAAGTAGCCTAATAAATAGATATAATATATGGGGAATTTTAAAATGCTTGCTTTACACCAGTGAATCCTTATATGAAGAATTGTAGGTGTTACATGATGCCATGCAAAATGAGAATTTGGCACTGGGGGTAAGAATTGGCAGGACATTCCCAAATAAGGAGAAATTCCCCATTATTTGTCAATAGCAAGACTTCTTTACTCTTGGCATGAAATCTTGGAATGAGTTTCATTATGATGTAGAAGGCTATGGATCCACTGACTTTAATTTAGCCCAGACATGTCAAACACAAGGCCCACAGGCCAGGGCTGGCCCACTAAGTGGTTTCATCTGGCCCAGGGACCTGTTCTGGAAACAGTGAAGGACCGGCCTGTAGCATCTCAACCTGGCCCAGGCCAACCGGACACTGATCTACAATCTGGTTGTGTCCATCAAAGCCAGAATGCGTTCAGCCTTAGATCCACGGGGTAGCCCTGCCCCACCCGCCCTCTGGGCGCGCCACAAGCAGAGTCCGGCATTCCTCTTGGCTGTCTTGCCCTGCAGGCTGACTTCGCTCATAATGCTGGCACTGGCCATCTCCTGTAAGCACACCTGGGGGGGGGCAAGACAGAGGCGGCGGGGCAGTTCCTTGCTGGTTCCAGGGCTGGTTCCAGGGCTGCCCCATGGATCTAAGGCTGAGCACATTTTGGCTTTGATGGACGCAACCAGGTTATAGATCAGTGCCAAAGCAGAGTAGAGGAAAATATTTTCCTTTGCTATATTTCATGTCTGAATTAGACCATGGCAGGGTCCCTGCAGGAGAGCTCTTTTAAGGATTATGTATTAATAGAAAAGCAACTAACTTACCTCGGTTCCTAAATGCTAAAGCTGTTGCACATAAAAGACAGAGAAGCTCTGATCAACTATCACAGCCACCATTTTGACAGTTCCACTGTACTGTTGTCTGTGGACGCCTCTTTTAGAGCACTGAAATTTTTTGGAATTTTTTGTTAGCTTTAAAAGGCTTTCTGAAGCAAATTCTTTTTTTAATAGATTGAAGAATAATAAAAATACTAGAGAATTATTCTGTATGGCATTATTCTGTATGGCAGAATTGAGTTTTCTCCATTAGTTATGAATTCCACCAGGTGCTAAAGCAAATTGGACATGAAGATGGTCTTGATATTAATGGAAAAGGCTTGTTTAAAATTCCCAGTTGTCAAAAGCTGCATCATGGTCATAATTAGTTTTCGCCTAGTCTTAGGACCAATGAAAACAAACATCATTTTGAAAAATATTCCATTGTTTAATATGATTTTTAACAAAAAAATCTTTGTTTTTTTTACAGGGACTATATTAGTTTTTACAAGAATATGTTACAGCAACATGAAGAGCATCAGGTTTAATCTGTGACTCTCAAATTTATATATCTACATCCAAGATATTAATCAACACTATTCTTCTGGAATATCAGTGCCTGAGACGAATGCTATTTTGTCTAATTGACAAGGATCCAACATAAATGTCTTCATCCTGTCCTGGGATTGATAAGGGCATATCCTATGATAAAAAGTGTCCAGGCCTTCAGCTACAATCCTATATGAAAGAAATTACTTTTTAAGTTGTTGTGCATAAGATTCATTTTCCAACAGGTTTTGCATGGGAAATCTACCCATTGTCATACATAAATCAAAAGTAGTTGTTATAGCTTTTGAATGTGAGGAATGTCCTAGTCAATGTAATATTGATTTTTGAATCTTGATCATTAACTGGATTGTTCTTAGGGATAGTTCACAAATTAGATTTTAACTTGAAACTGTTCTGCCAGAAGCAGCAGGGGAGTGTAATATTAACAAAGCACTGCTGCTTGCTTCTGCATTGTTTAATCCCCGATTCAAAGCAACAAAGAATCTGTATATTCAAAACATATTCATTCACCACTGGATCTTGACTTGATCTTTTCTTGGTTTACCTTATAACTGTTTAAGTACCCTATTTGAATTTCATTCACCTTACTTTTATGCTTTTCCTGACTATATTTTTTCACTTCTGTATAACAAAGTGAGCAAAAATACCCTATTACATACAATCATTTTTGCTTCTTTCAACAACCATTAATTCCATACTACAGGCCTGATATTACCTTAGCTTGTAGGAAGGGAACTGTATTAAGGTATGGAAGAAAAAAAAAAGGATATGTTTATAAAGACATAAAACTCTATGATTTGTAGTTCACAACAACTTTAAAAGAATTTTTTAAAAAATATATGTCAGAAAATATGCAACTATATTCCTGTTTTTCTTTCCTTTTCTCTAAGAATTAACTTGTCTTAATATTTCTTCATCTATTTTGTCCATCTTTAGTGAATATTCTTTCAAGCTATATACATTTATCTACTTTTTCTAGTTTTAATATGCATGTATAATTCTTAATTGCTCACATGTATTTTCTCTGCAAACATGTTATTTGTCATTTACAAATTAATTTTTAGATCCTGCTTGTACAACTCAATGTAGTGTATATAATGTTTCTGTCTTCTGTGTTTCCAATAACAACACATTGTGAGGTGGGTTGAGATGAGACAGAGTGATCGGCCCAAAGTATTGAGCTAACTGTTTTCTACTCACAATTGCCGCTAATCATGAAGCAACAATTTGGCAACATTTACATACAAAGTACCTGTACATTAATATCCTCAGTCAACCAAATTCTAATACCCCCAAAATCATTTTTGTACATTTATAAGTTTCTTAAATAGTCAAGGAGATATACACATTGTTACATTCTTATCTTATTCCCTGGTTAAAGTTGAACCATCCATTAAGCTTTTTTCCCCTGTCCCATCATATATAACTCTTAATACATTCAGCAACTAACCTTTGTGCAAGTATTGTGCAAATATCACCTATTCATTATATCATATGGTTTCTCTAAATTAATCTATGTGCAACCTTTATTTATCTACCTGGCAATATTAATCTTTCCTGAAAATAGATGTTGCACAGCAGAATATATAAAGTTTGAAATAACACTGAAACAGCAGAGAAATCAAACAATCTCTTTGAAAATTCATATATACACAGTAGGCACTCCACTAAGCAGGTGTTCAGTTTAAAAAAATGAATGACAGAATCCATCTACATTTTCATCAGTGTGGGATGTTTGCATAATTCTCTTGAACAGTTCTTTTAAACTGCTTAAAGTGCAAGTTGCCTCATTAAACAGAAAGGAAGAATGGGGACAGGTGTATTTGTAACCTATCCTTCTGTAACCATTTCCATCACTAAGAACTAAGTAGTCTTCCATATAATTTCCCATGAAATTCACAATTCTAGACAGTAATTCCTTATGACACCTGACCGGCTAATATCTTCACATTTATTTGTGTTTGCTAATTCATGAGCACAACATCAAAGAAAACATAGTTTGCTTTGGACTAAGTTTGCAGTTTTAGATTTCCTTTTACCTGGGAACAAGGTAAGTAAGATAATTTAGTAAGACTTCATTTGAACAGTTCTGAATACATCATTCTAACATTTCATGGCACATCTTCCCCTTTATCTGCAAATAAACCAACCTACTTTCTTTCTCCTATTATTTTTCTATTATCCCTTCAATATGCTTTTGTTTTTGTTTCAAAATATGACACTATTTTTTACCATAGGCTGGAATTGTGAATCATAATTTTCTATTAGTGATATAAGATTTTTAAAAAGAATTTAAGTGTCATGAAAATAGTTGCTTATTTTTTTATCAACATACCTTACTGGCAGATCCAATTTTTATTCCAAGCATTATGGGACATACACAGATATAGTGTACAAAAAGTATTCCAGCTGTCCCAATGGGGATAGCAGAGGGGAATGCCACCAATTCTACTAAGTTGCATATATGAATAGTTGGTTCTAGGGAACAGCAATACATTCTGAATGTTTTTACACATTATCTTTTGCAAGACAGTTATATGACATGAGTATTCTTGCTATTTTTAGTTATGTAAATAGTACTTTGATTCCCTTGGCTCTATTCATAAGAAAATATCTGCCTAGCTAGCATGATTTCTGACTATTAGGAAGTACAAATAAGAAATAAAAATACTGATAGTATCAGAGGCAGGTCCTTACAGACAGAAAGTTTAGATTAGCCCTTCTCAACCTTATGACACTTCCTCTTTCGTCTGAGGTGTATTGGAGTTCAATTCCAACATATCTGAGGGGCATAAGGATGGCCAATAGGTTTTTAATCAGTCCATTGCAATCAGTCAATTAAAATATTGTTTAAAATAAAATGGCAATACACATCTTTTTCATATACGTCTTTTTTTCCTGAAGTCCTCTAGACTACAAAAAGGAAAAGATACTATCTTCTTAAAAGATATGCCACCTCCTGCTGCTCAGCCCAACAGACACATGAAAAATAAAATGCTGCTGCCTTTTTCAAAATGATTTATAGTCTAAAACTCATCTGGAACATGGCCTAAACAGATGCAGTTGAAAGAAAGATATGATATTCCCTGATTAATGCCAGATATATATGGCACATCTAATACCACTCCAGTGTGATTACCAGTGCATTTCTAGGTGTAATTCAAGGTGCTCATGGTTACCAATAAAACCCTACATGGCTTTGAGGTGGGCAGTAAGTTCAATATATCTGCCTGATGGATCACCTCTTTTCAAGAGCCTTTACCTGTCCGACTAGGTCAAACAGAATCGGCATGCTGAAGATGTCATCAGCCCAAAGAGTGTTGGGTGGTGGGGACTAGAAAGCGAGGTTTTTTTTTGCAGTGGCAGAATTTTTTAAAGGGTTTTTTAAATATTTTGACTAGTTTTGTCCCTTTTCAGTAATTAAATATAAATCATTACTATACATTTTGTAAAAAGATATAAAGGGGATTTTAGTTTTGATTCTACTTGCAAACCAAAAGTAATATTCAAAATGGTCACATGTACAGACACATCCATTCTAATAGTGATTTCTAAGTGAGCAAAGGCAGCAGCAAAATCTCAAGTTTATTAAATGCCCTATATCTCAGGAGATGTCCAAACCTCAAAATAATAATCTCATTTCCTTTCAATTTTTGCAAACCAAAATGAGGTTTTGAAATTATGAATAACTGTCCATCTTCACTAGCATTCTGGTCAAAGGGCAGCTCTTTAAAACAAGATGAGATTTATACACCATAATAACTCTGTAATGAGTTTTATTCAGGTTTCTGTAAAGTGTATCTGCCTTTTTGCTAAAACTTGACAGCACTAGTAAATAAATCAATGATTTGAAATAGTCTAAATGGCAGCTGCTTATCATTTTTTCCAACATAATTTCCAGATATTTGAGATTATAATTTCTATAATCACAACTATACAGGTTGTTCTCGACTTATAACCACAATTGTGGTTATTAAATGAGACATTTGTTAAGTGAGTTTTGCCTCATTTTATAACCTTTTTTGCCACAGTTGTAAAGTGAATCATTTCAGTTAATAAGTAATTCAGTTGTTAAGTCAATCTGGCTTTTCCATTGATTTTGCTTGCCAAAAGGTTGCAAAAGGTGATCATGTGATCTTGGGAAACAGCAGCGGTCATAAACATGAACCAGCATATGCCAAGCATATGAATTTTGATCACATGATCATGGGTATTCTACAAAGGTTGTAACTCTGAAAAATATTCATAAATCACTTTTTTCAGTACCATTGTAACTTTGAACAGTCACTAAATAAACTATTATAAGTCGAATACTACCTGTATAATGTTGAGGGATGATGCAGTTTAGTAATGTTAAATTAGCCACAATTTGTTCACCTCTTGATTTAAATCAAATTCATGCCAGCTATGAATAAAATAGACCACAATCTACTATTTGATAAGATAGAAAAATGTGGGTTAGACAGCATCACCACCAGATGGATTCGTAGCTGGCTGATCGGCCGTACTCAGCATGTGGTCCTCAATTGAACTGCATCTACATGGAGGGAAGTGTGTAGTGGGGTGCCCCTGGGCTCTGTTCTAGCCCAGTGCTCTTCAACATCTTCATCAACGATTTGGACGAGGGGATAGATGGGGAATTCATCAAATTTGCAGACGGCACTAAGCTGGCAGGAATAGTCAACACACCAGAAGATAGGCTTAAGATACAGAAGGATCTTGACAGACTTGAACATTGGGCACTATCTAATAAAATGAAATTAAATGGTGAAAAAAGTAAGGTTCTACATTTAGGCAAGAAAAACCAAATGTACAGGTATAGTATAGGGGGTACCTTGCTCAATAGTAGTAACTGTGAGAGGAACCTTGGACTCCTGGTGGACAATCACTTAAATATGAGCCAGCAGTGTGGTGCAGCTGCCAAAAAAACCAACACAGTGCTAGGCTGCATTAACAGAGGGATAGAATCAAGATCACATGAAGTGTTAATACCACTTTACAATGCCTTGGTAAGGCACTTGGAATACTGCATCCAGTTTTGGTCACCACAATGTAAAAAAGATGTTGAGGCTCTACAAAGAATACAGAGAAGAGCAACAAAGATGATCAGGGGACTGGAAGCTAAAACATATAAGGAACAGTTGCTGGAATTGGGAATGTCTAGTCTAATGAAGAGAAGGATGGAGGATGACATGATAGCAGTGTTCCAATATCTCAGGGGCTGCCACAAAGAAGAGGGAGTCAAGCTATTCTCCAAAGCACCTGAAAGCAGGAGAAGAAGCAACAGATGGAAACTAATCAAAGAGAGAAGCAACCTAGAACTAAGAAGATATTTTCTGACAGTTAGAACAATTAATCAGTGGAACAACCTGCCTCCAGAAACTGTGAATTCTCCAACACTGGAAGTTTTTAAGAAGAGACTGGACAGCCATTTGTCTGAAATGGTATAAGAGTTCCTGCCTGAGCTAGGGGGGTTGGACTAGATGACCTCCAAGGCCCCTTCCAACTTTATTATTATTATCAATCATCGCACAGTCAGCCAGATGTTCAGCCTGGATTTGGCATTTTGTCTACCTATCGAGTCCTTACCCAGGACCTGGGATAGGCAGATGTGGATGTTTGATGGTATTACAGGTATTGTTGCAGGATGGAAGCAGTTCCTAATAAGGCCGCCTTTTGCAATTGACTAATAGCAAATTTGTCAATGCCAATGGTGTTCAAGTGGTGCTCCAGTTGTTTTGGGATTACACCCAAGGAGCCTATTACTATTGGTACTACCCTTGCTTGCTTTTGCCACAGTCTTTCTATTTCTATTTGTAGGTCTTTGTATTTTGTTATCTTCTCCAGTTCTTTCTCTCTATTCTGCTATCTCCAGGCACTGCCACGTCCACTATCCAGACTTTTTTGTCTTTCTTATCGACAATTGTTAAGTCTGGGGTGTTATGTTGCAGGTGCTTGTCTGTTTGAATTCTGAAGTCCCAGAGCAGTTTAATTTTATCATTTTCTATGACTTTCTCTATTTTATGATCCCACCAGTTTTTGATTACAGGCAAATTATATTTTTTGCAGATCTTCCAATGCACCATTGTTGCTACTTTGTCATGCCGCTGCTTGTAATCAGTCTGTGCAATCTTCTTGCAACAGCTTACCAAGTGGTCCACTGTTTCTTCAGCTTCTTTGCATAGGCGGCACTTACTGTCTGTTGTGTCTTCTCAATTTTGACTTTGTATGCATTTGTCCTTAAGGCTTGGTCTTGTGCAGCCAGAATTAGTCCCTCGGTCTCTTTCTTCAATTTTCCTGCTCTTAGCCATTGCCAGGTTTTATTATTATCTGCTTTCCCAGCTATTTTTTTCATGTATTGGCCATGTAGTGCTTTGTCTTCCCATGCCTCTATTCTGTTCTTCATTTGGTCTTTCTTGTAGGCCAGTTTGGTCTCTCCAGTAGTTAGTAAGCCTTCCTGATATACTAATTTCAGTGCATCTTCATCATTGTTCTTCAGATATTCTTCCAAAGCCATTTTTTTCTTCTTCAACCATCTGATGTACTTGTAGCATTCCACGCCCACCTATTTGCCTTGGTAGATAAAGTCTATCAATGTCACTGCGTGGATGAAGGGCATGATTCATTGTCATTATTTTTCTGGTCTGCCTATCCATTGCTTTTAGTTCTGCTTGAGTCCAGTCCACTATTCCAGCTGTGTACCTAATGACTGGGATTGCCCAGGTGTTGATTGCCTTTATGGTATTTCCTCCATTGAGTTTGGATTTTAAGATCTTCTTCACTCTCTTGATGTATTCACCTCTAATCTTTTTCTTGACTTCAGTGTGCTTGATGTTGTCAGCTTGAAGGATACCCAAGTATTTGTAGTACTCTTCCTCATCCAGACTCTTAATGTTATTTTCGTGGGGCATCTTGATTCCTTCAGTTTTCATATTTTTCCTTGTTTGATAGTAAGTGTGGCACATTTGTCCAAGCCAAACTCCATTACAATATCTTGGCTATATATACGGACAGTGTTGAGCAGCGATTCTATTTCAGATGATGTTTTTCCATACAGCTTCAGATCATCCATATAAAGGAGGTGGGATAGTCTAGCAGATGTTTTTGATGTTTGATAGCCATGTCCTGAGTTATTCAGTATTGTTGACAGAGGAAACAGTGCAATAACAAATAGTAATGGTGATAATGAATCTCCTTGAAATATTCCTCTCTTGATATTAACCTCTCCCAGCCTCTCACCATTGATCTGCAACTGTGTCTTCCATTGTGCCATCGATCTTTGCACAAATTTTCTGATGTTTCTACTGACTCCTGTTATTTCTAGGCACTTTATTATCCAATCATGTGGCAGAGAGTCAAATGCCTTTTTGTAGTCAATCCATGCCACATTCAGGTTGGTCTTCCTTCTCTTGCAGTTTTCCAAGATCATTTTGTCTATTAGGAGTTGATCTTTTGTTCCTCTGCTATTGGGGCGGTTTCCTTTCTGCTCAGGTGGAAAGAGATTGTTTTCAACTAGATGCTGTTGCACTGCATCAGCTACTACACCAGTTAGTAATTTGAAAGTTGTTGGTAAGCAGGTAATTGGCCTGTAGTTACCTGGTGTTGCCCCTTTTGCTGGATTTTTCATTATTAGGTAGGTTTTCCCAGTTGTTAGCCACTTTTCAATTTCTCCTCCTTGTAGTATATTGTTGAACTGTTGGCAATGAGTGGGTGTATAACAGTTAGATGTTTCAACAAAACCCATGCAGTTCATCTTCACCTGGTGCTGACCAATTTTTGATTTTCTTTGCTCTTTTTTCTACCATTTTTGTTGTTATTACTAGTTCTTTCATTTCAACTTCTGTTTTATTTGCATCCACCTCTTTTAACCAAG